TTGTATGCGATTTTCCCATGGAATGACTTTTTTTATGCAATTTTTCGATTTTTTAATGTAATTGGAGAATGGCTGAAAGTGTCAGTTAAAAAAGCCATAATATTTATTTTTTACTAAAAATGAACAAAAAAAAAGCTCAAATACTTGTTAAAATAATGTCCACTATTTAAATATAAATTGATACAACATATTCTAACAGTGTCGCTATCACATTTGGCTGTTAGATTAGTTCCCCATTTATTTTATATCCGACGATTTACATGCATACCACATAATCATTATGCATTTATACATCTAACATTTCAACAACAGAGCTCAAGAAAATCATGAATTTATATAATGCACCCATATATGAGAAAAAAAAAAATATTACATCAGGACTCCGCACGTAGAATTATGTGCGGAGTCTAATGAAATTACGCCGTGGAGTCGATCGGCCCGGTAACACAAGGAATATTCCCCTCGTGTTATTCATGTGTTATTGTATCTTATTCAGGTGTTATTGTGTGTTATTCAAGTATTATTAATGTATTATTGTGTTATTATAATACCGAGAATATTCTCATAACACAATAACACATGAATAACATACAATAACATCTGAATAACACAGAATAACACGAGAGGAATATTCTCTTGTATTATCGGGCTGGTCACCTCCACAGCGTAATTTCATTGGACTCCGCGCGTAGAGTTACATGCGTGAGTGCTGATGTAATATTTTTTCCATATATGAATACTATTCAACAAATATTGCATTGATTTGAAATCAAAATGCATTAATTCTTTACATATCATACCCAGTAGTAGTAGGCATGTAAATACGAGTATAATTAAATGTTAGATATATAAATACATAAAATTTATATGATATACATGTAAATTTCCCCCATAAATATATAAGCAACTGTGTAATTAGTCAGTGATCAATCGATTTCAGTTAGTTGGGGAGGCCGTCCTTTAAAATAGCTTGCTATACAAGTCATCAATGGCGTCATAGGCAAGTTAATTATTATCTTCTTTTTTTTTTTTTTTTTTTTTTGGTCAAAAGATAATATCTGCTTGAGTGTGACGGAAAGGATAATATTTATGTGAAAAAAATAAAAAAAAAAATAGAAAATAGAGATCTTTAGAATCATCACACAAACACTTATTATTAGAGAAGCTTCTTCTTTTTTTCTTTCTAATGGATGTATTTAATAGGATTTAGTTCAACTTCGCCTTTTTTTTTTGTAATCGTTTAAGAAAATATTAGAATACAAGTCGTGTCTTACAGAATCTTTTCATGGAGTTTTGATGAAAAGATTAGGACATGTATGTTAGGTTGCTCGAAAATGAGGATATGACATATGTTCATTTATGACATCGGTTTTGACTTTTATGTTATGATAGTTTCAAGGATCGTTGAGGAGGCAAGCAGGGCCGGCGAACCTGGATGGTCAGTTCATTAGAAGGATCATGCATACCATATCGACGAGTCAGTTTACCAAGTTTGGTGAGGCATATTGTCAGTCAGTGTAAGACGACTGACACATCGATGAGTAAGTTTAGAGTCCTTTCGATGTCAGTCACGTGTTCTGGTTAGTTTAGCTAATGAGGCTCAAGAGGCCTATGAGACGCAGACCTTGGTCCATGAAGATTGATTTTTTGTGTACGGTTCATAAGATTTGCATACATACCGCTTAATTCCTATGTATTTGCATATCTAATACCTAAGCGACAAGTAGACATAATTAATAGCTAATATGAATAGCAAATAGGAGATATTTTGATTAGTAATTTCTTTCTTTTTTGCATGGAAAAAAAATGAATAAATTCATGAAAGGAAATAGTAATTAATATAAAAAGCAAATTAATTAAGGCCTAAAATATCATAATGTAATCATGAAGAATTAATAATGAGTAATTGCATCACTAATTGACCAATGAGGCTATGCCACAATAGTAGCCCCTCATTCACATGGGAACCATTAAATTTATTTGTCATGCCGCATACATTCTATTATCATGTGAAAAACATTTTCATTCTTTTGCAATTATTTTACCCATAAACTGTCATGATGATTTAGTTACGATAGGATGGTTAGGAGTCTTTCTAAAAGAATTCAAGATGATCGAATCTCAAAATGACGAAAAATATAAATTATGAAAGGGTAATTTGATTTGTTTTTAGTGAAAAAAACATGCACCAAACTATTTATTATTAGGTCCTCCATCAATCTCTTCTTTACCATCCACATCATGAGCATTGAAAAAGAAATGATGTTTTAATGGAGATGTGGCAATCAAAGAGAGGAGAAATGCAATCAATTGAATTCAAGATTGGATTGTTAGAAGGGGGAAGTAATGAGATCCTAAATTAAGTGTAAATACACAAGAATTGGGCGATGTGTATGTAAATGGCTCGTAAATAAAATTTAGAGGTCGCAGTGATTTACAAGAGCAATGTGTAAGGGGAGAGAATATTACGCTCGTACGTGCATAAGTTCAATCATGGGAGCTAGGCCACTTCATCATACGCGTGAATTTGCGCCAACATGGCCTTTGGTGATTTGCATCCGGGCAGGTGTGAAAATTCGTGGGAGGAATGCGAAAAAACATTGAGCGAGAAAATTGAAACAATAAAAATAATTTGAGAAGTGATTTGGAATGCATTATTCTTAGACTTGATCATCCAAAAGAATCTTAGAATTCTTAAAAGAGAAAAAAAAAGGCACGTCTTTCTGCTCTACTTCATACAAAATATTCACATCAAATAGTTTTATAGTTTATCAAATGCGAGCCTTTGAGCATTGTCGAATTTGGTGATGTTGAAGTTAGAGCAAAGAGTGGGACCATGGAACCTCTAACATGTGGAAAGTAATATATATATATATTCCATTTTTTTAAAAGTTAAATGGTGATACTTTTATATGATAATGAAGATTTGGGTGGTATAAATGTAAAAAAATTAAAGTTTTGATAATATTTAAATAAGATTTTTTATGTATTTATATATCCAACACCTAAACTTTAATATTTACATTCATAACACTCAAATAATTTATTATTATTATTATTGAAAGAGCATTATTCGGCTCCTTATGCATTTCATTAAAAAAAAGAATTACAAAAGAAAGAAAATGACCTACCTAATACCCACATACAACTCACGCAAAAAAAAGAAAATCTAAACGTCATTTTCCAAAAGAAAAGCAAAATACAACACATACACCCAAAACAACAGAAACAAAAACAAGAACAAACAAAAACAAACAAAACATAATTAACTAATATCATTCAATGCTAGTCTCAAAAGATCAATTGGAATAAACTTGGAAACCAAAACACCATGTAGTTTCAATCCAGCCTTAGCCGCCCAACGAGCAACCATATTCCTCTCTCTCTTGATATGAGACCAACGGATTACCAAGTGTTTAGACAAATCAAGAATTCTTTTCATTTGAATGTTAACACTCCAATGATGATCCTCTTTCAATCCACAATGCTTCCATAATATCAAAGAGTTAGTTTCAAAAATAATAAATTTCTAGCCCCATTTTTAAGCCACTTAAAGACAAAAAATCAAAGTATCAGCCTCAACAACTAAAGGGGAGACAGAAAAAGCACCAGCCGAAAACCAGCATAACAAATTTGCATTTAGCAAAAATATGAGCACTGATTTTCTCATGATTTCTGCAAAGCACACAGCAAGAAGGAATACGCAAACCTTTTAGTTTAAGTAAATCATTAGTAGGAATGAGATTATGAAATATTCTTCAAATAAAGAAAGAAATTTAAAGCTCGACCCAAAGGTTCCAATTCCAACTAAGATCCAACCCCTCAAAGGATTGAAAGTCAAGTACACATCAAATTGAAGGCTTGACACTCAAATCTTTTAGCATCCCATCAAAAATATTATTTTACTTGCTTTTGAAAAGTCAAATGCACATTTTTATGATAACACCAATGAATTATAAATATAAATAACAAAAATTTAAGCGTTAGATATGTAAATCCATGATAAATGTATGGTATATATGTTAATTTCTTTTTATTTTCTTAATTTCCATACAAGGAAAGGAACCCAAAGTTGCAAGCTACGAAACCATATATGATAGCTCAATACTTCATTTTTTACGACATAAATGTGATGTTTTGATACTTTTCAATGGTGAAAGGGCTTTGTCAAACAATTAAGGATAGTATCACAATAATAACTTCAATAAAATAAATGCGGCAAATACCCATTCAAAATGGATATTTCAAGAAATACCCCACCAAAAGAAAGATTAATTGAACTATAGATATAAGATCTAGATAAAATGTTGCATGATTAACCATGGCTTTTGAGCCCCACAATAACAATTTTACTTCTTTGATGTCCAAAGCCACTGTATGAAGCTTGGGCCTTCAAAAAAAAGGGTACTTTACATGCATACCACACAATTCATATGTACCAATCTAACACCTAAATTTAATATTTACATTTATAACTTTAAAAAATATTTTATGATAACTTTTATTTTGTTTCTTTTTTTTTGTTTTGTTTTAAAATAAAACACATTTGCCAATATTAACTGTTTTCAAAAATACTCAAAACACAAATATTATTTTAATTATTTTTTAAAACAAATAATATACTAAACAAGCATCTTAAAAATAGAAACAACCAAATAAAATAAAATAAAAGAATAATTGCATTCAGATCACTCAAAACATTGATATTTACAAATTAAGCACCGAGGTAATTTATGCATGCCACAATCAAACTCAAACTTGAAAATTTGATAAAAAAATCAAAATACGAGCTTGAGCTTTACCATGAATTTTGATATTTGAGAATTTGGAACATGGATGAAAGAGAGCTGTTGATTTGTAAATAGCAAGTTTCTGTTGGTCTGCATGTAATTGTCCCAAAACAAAAACAAGCCCTAAAAAGTTGACACAACACAACCCCCAAAAAATCTCCTTATTACAATAATTAAATAAAACAGGGCAAACAGGATGAAGAAAACATCATTCATTTCAACATTATAATAGCTTCATAAACATTTCATATCGTAATCATAATTGATTTCTATCATTAGTTTTCTCTAAGCTCTAAACTTTAGCATCTCATCATAATTTAGTCAATAATTCTGCAAAAATTTCAAGCATTTGTTGAAGCAAGTGTTTGAACTAATCTTTCTGGTTTCAGAGCCCTATCTCTACTTAATACCCTGCTTCGCTTTCTTCCTCTCCTTTCTCTTCAGTTCATGTTGTCCTGGAGAGAAAAAGTTATTATGATTAAAGTAACAGTAGATGTAATACTGGGCATTTACATACATGCCACTCAATTTTTACATATTTACATATCAAAACACCTAAAGTTTACATTTTACATTTATAACACCCAAATCTGTCAATCATTTTAACTTTTAAAAAGTGAAATTGTCTTTTCAAGGATTGGGAAAGTGGCATGTATGTAAAAAGTGGAGATTAGGTGTTAGATATCTAAATACATAGGAACTGAGTGGTATGCATGTAAATCTTCCTATGATTTAGGATCTCCAAATTAGGCTGGTAAACCTTACGCTTTTTTTCTTCTCTTCGCTTGCGTTTCCAGTTTTCAACCTGTCTCCTTGTTTCTCTCTTTTTGTCTACATTAACGCAGATCTGGCAAGAACAGAACAGGTTTTGATTTGAGATGAAATAAATAAATAAAAGAGCTCAAATGTAAAAGAAGAAATTACAAATATATAGAAGCAAAGGTGAAATGGGAATACTTCCAACAACAAGAATAAAGATCTAACATGTTGCAGGATATGATTGGAAAGATGTAAAAAATGGTGGAAACGAAAATGCCGTTGGACAAGTCAATGATGAGTGGCCTTAAAATAGTTCTCATTTTGGCAACCAAATTTTGTCAAAATTTCTTGTGGCAATAGTGCCCTTTTTTCAAATATACATTCTCTGGGTGTTCTAAAATCACACTTAACTCCCATTTTTAAAGCTTTAGATTAACAAATTGGGAGGATTAACATATAATGTAATATAATAAAATTTAACCAATAAGGGATGAAAATGTAATTTGAGAGCAAAAATTTAGGATTAGCATGTGATGTAATATCTAAGAATAAGAGATAGAAGTTTAACCTAAAAGGAGTACGTATAATATTGACTATATATAGAGAAGCTTAACTTACCTTTAAAAAAATGCTGTGGATATAGAAAACCCTATTTTTATTTGAGGCATTTACATACATACCACATAATTCTTATATATTTACATATCTAATACCTAAACTTTGATATTTAAAAACATGCCACTCAAATCTTTAATATTAAATAAAAAATACCACAATTTTTAACTTTTTAAAAGAAAATACATATTTTCATGCATAGGTTTATAACACCAAAGTGTTATAAATGTAAATATCAAACTTTAGGTGTTAGATATGCATACATAAGACTTGTGTGGTATGTATGTAAACTTCCCTTTTTATTTTTATAGTGTAGAGATTTAAATAGGAACCCTCACTACCCAATCAAAACCATGTTATAAACTTTCATCTCAAGTCGCTTTGAGTGTCGAAAGAAAACAGGAGTTACAATTCTTATTTGCCTTCCTTGTGCCTCTAAAAGACGGGGTTCAAATAAAACAGCACCAAAGATTATAGTTCTGTTTATCATGGAGATCGATCAAGGTCTAAGATTTTCTAATAAATACTAGAAAGATTTACATACATATCACCCAATATTTATGTATTTACATATCAAACATCTAAACTTATGTACTTATCACCTTACCTTTGCATGGAAAGGTATATTTTACTTAAAGTTAATAGAGCGGTCTTGTTAATGTGATATGAAAGATTTGGATGCTATCAATGTAAAA